AAACATAATAACAGTATTCTAGATCGCATTTTCTCATTAACAGAAGTTGGAGCTAATAAAAATAAAAGCCATTTCTATTTTGACAGATGACGTTTGCATGTGAATTGAGCAAAAGAAATTAATAGTCGCGGGGACAATACTTTTATCTCGTTTCGGAGCCACAGATGGGAATCGAACAAGCGACCCCAACGTCTGTCTATGTGGGTTCACGATATAGTAACCCCAGTGACCTTAACCACTGCACCATCGAACTGGCGGCGAGGGGAGACCCCTGTTCTTCACTTTTCACGACCTACAGGGCTCTTGCCTCCGCCCTTATAAATTTACCTTTTGCCTCGTATCTTCACCACATTCCACACACCTTGGCCGTCTAGTTGTTATGAAATGCTTATTACCATCTGTTCCTACAAACTTCAACCACTCAAGATTGAAATTTGCTTGGAAAACGGCTGAGATTTCGACCTGCAGCACTCAGGCTGGATCGTCTACAACAGTACATGTATACCGGTGCGTTTTAGTATGAAGTTTTACGTACAGACTGAACTATTTACATTCTGGCTTTCGGCCTTTAACTCTTTTGTATCCAGCATGTTCGGTTTGACTTGATGGTCTCCAACTCCACCTCCGTATTGTATCCCAACTGAGTCTGGAGTGGTGCATTCATATGACATTATTGGTAAACAGACCGCGCTATATATGGATAGACGAAGCATACAACTGAAAGGGCCAACGACACCTCGCTTCAAGTCCACAAACCTGGCATTCTCGGGCTCCTATATGTGAGGTTTTAGACGAACGTTATCAGTCAATGCCCATCCCAGCTCTACGCATTACACTTTCGCTCCACCAAGCATGGTCAGAGAGGCTACTAATTCTAGTTCTGCCGCACAACATAGAGAACTGTCCCCAAAGGTCTATCCTCATGTTGGACAAGAATGGCGCATGCTCGTCCGGACCTACCAGCATTTGAAATACACGACTTCGAGAAAGACTTTGAGTGCATGGTAAAGGGAGCAGGAACAATGTCACCAGCTGTCTAGCCGGTGGGCGACGGCGAGTGCCGCATGATGGGTCGACTGTGTGGCATGTTGGCGGAGAGAGAAGAGAGGTCTGGGTATTGCACTGCAGCAGGTCAGTGACTGATCGCGCGTATCGGAGAGGACTCACACATTTACATCTCTTCGGCCTCTCCTTAACACCCTTGCCATCCATAGCTTCTCTCCAACATCAACCTCCCATTATTCAAGTTCCTTCCTCTCCGGGGCTGGTAATAACGGGGGCGAGCAGGGCAATCTAACGCGATGTTGCGTGGGCCGGAGCTTGGGGGACTTGACGGAGTTGATAACAGAGGGAGAAGAGGAACAGTCGGATCGCATAGAAACGAGGTCTTTCTTCAGTTGGGTGTTCTTGTTCTTGGTTTTTTGTATAGGAACGCCACAGGAATGTACGAGCGGGGAGTTGGAATGTACTGGCATACTGTTGCAGATGATCCAGCCTGAGTGCTGCAGGTCGAAATCTCAGCCGTTTTCCAAGCAAATTTCAATCTTGAGTGGTTGAAGTTTGTAGGAACAGATGGTAATAAGCATTTCATAACAACTAGACGGCCAAGGTGTGTGGAATGTGGTGAAGATACGAGGCAAAAGGTAAATTTATAAGGGCGGAGGCAAGAGCCCTGTAGGTCGTGAAAAGTGAAGAACAGGGGTCTCCCCTCGCCGCCAGTTCGATGGTGCAGTGGTTAAGGTCACTGGGGTTACTATATCGTGAACCCACATAGACAGACGTTGGGGTCGCTTGTTCGATTCCCATCTGTGGCTCCGAAACGAGATAAAAGTATTGTCCCCGCGACTATTAATTTCTTTTGCTCAATTCACATGCAAACGTCATCTGTCAAAATAGAAATGGCTTTTATTTTTATTAGCTCCAACTTCTGTTAATGAGAAAATGCGATCTAGAATACTGTTATTATGTTTTGCCCACTTC